CGTAGCAGGGCTGTCTTGTTAAGTTTTTTTTTTATTAGGTTTCAGACAACTTTTTTTTCAGACCATCCGCAGCTTATTAGGACTAAATACATTCGCACATTAATAACATAAGTGTCTCAATTATCATAGATACGCAACATATTTTTTCTCCTGGTGATGTTTTTTTTTTTTTTTAATGTTTTATGAAGTTTTAGCATTCTTAAAATCTTTTCTTTTGTGAGTGCATAATATCGTTACGTTACATATGTTTGTATATAATCTTTATAAAACTTCGAAAGTATTTTGTATTTTAAAATAATTAAAAAAATTAAAAAAAAAAGCCGTCTTTGGTAGGAGTCGAACCTCTAGTTGCTTGTTCAGAAGTTCGCCGCCATATCCATTCAAGCTACGCCGGCATATCGTCAAGTGTAGATTTTATAAAAATGTAGTAATTTTTTTGAGGAAAAATATGTTAGATCAAAATTAAGGAGAGGTTGACGTAATGTAATTTTCAAGTAAAAATCAAACTGTAAAACGTGATAAATGTTTCAGTATGTTTTAACATATGCTTTAACATTACTTAGTTTAAAGTTTACATACGTTAGATATTCGTTCATGTATTCTTATAGTGCTGCGACTCTTTCTTGCTAATACCTCGGTTGCAATGGCTGCCAAGGGTTTCGTGTCAAATACGCTCCAAGGGACACTACTATTAAGTTTGGCAATATTATATAGAAGATATATATATATATATATATATATATATATATATATATATATATATATATATATATATATATATATATATATATATATATATATATATATATATATATATATATATATATATACATATATATATATATATATAAAAGTTATTTATATGTATGTATATGTAAAAATTATTTATATGTATATATATATTTTTTTTACGTTTTAAATTTAAGAATGATCATTCTAATTCAAGAACATTGTTTTAAACATTTGCTATCAGACTGCTAATGATACAAGTTTTGTTTTTTGATTTAGATTCTGTATCTCAATAATATCCTGACCTATCGAATCGATATCTTGGTAATACACTTACACACACAAATCTTTTAAAAAATGTTTATATTTTTATCTATATATCTATAAATTTTATATTTTATATAAATAAATTGTATATTTTTAAATTTTTCATTGCATATTACTGTTTGTATTAAAAATCGATTTTAGAAATATTACAAGTACAGAGCTCAACATACAATTTAATTTTATTTGACAATTCAATATATATCATAGGATAGTTTAATTACATTTAATAACATTTTGCGATTTTCTCCAGCGCATTTAAGCGTTGATTCAACGTTATATTCCACCCTTTATTCGACGTCTTTGAGTCACGTAAAATCGACGTTTTACTGCCAACGTTAAAAATCCTTGCAAAATCGACTGCTTTAACAACGTTACAGTAACGCTTTTCAAGTAACGTTTTTTCAACGTTAAATGGCGACGCTCATGCAACGCTTTTTAAGTAACGCTTTTTCAACGTTTAGTTGCGACATTTTTATAACGTCTATTAATAACGTTTTTTCAACGTTACGCTACAACGTTTAATCAACGACTCTTTTACAACGTTACATATCTTTGCAAAATCGATTACTTTGTCAACGTTTCCGCAACATCTTTTGCGACCGGTTTTCAACGTTGATTCAAGGCTGACATGTTTGCTAGAAACTTTCCACATCTAAACAACCGTGAAATATGGCTGCTGTATAACTGTCTAAGTTCACAATTCTAAAAGTTTTTTTTTTTAACTATGTAAATAACTTTAATGAGGTCATAAAAGTTTTTGCCTTTTACAGTTTAAAAGCGAAGAAATAATAGTAATTTTAAAAACTGTTTTTTCTTCGTCAACATTGCTTATACAAAGTAAAGTTTCATCTAAAAATAAATCACATAAGCAGATCAAAATAAAATTTGTGACAAATATAAAAAAAACTACGTAAATAATAGCAGTATACAAAGATCAAGATCTTGCTTTATTTGTTAACTTTTAAGGCGTAGACTCTATTTTATTTGGCCAACAATCGAACCAAACACACCCGCGTTCCTACATTGATAAAAAAAAATTAATTACATTTTATTGATACATAAACTAATTATTTGCTACGTTATTTAAAATGTTTGTTTCAAATTTTATAAATTAAAACTAAAAAAAAATATTACAGTAAATGCAACCGCCTAACTGCTAAAAATTATACTTTAAAAACCACAATTTTTACTTTTCAATATAAATATAAGTAAACTTAACAAAATATTTTGGTTATTACTAAGCATAAATACAAAAATAAAAAAATTAAAATTTATATATTTAAAATGTACATAATATGAGTAAAGATTTTGATTTTGCTAGGTTATTACTATCATACCAATAGCAGTCAAAATTAATCTAATTCTCAAAAAAAGGGATTGCAACAATGTTTTTAACTACCAATCTATTTCCCTACTTCCAGTATTATTAAAAGTATTTGAGAGAGTAATTTAGAATAGAGTTAAACTTTACATTGAGTAATTTTTTAAACAAAAATCATGTTTGGATTGTAAAGCAATTTCTCTACTGAACATGCTATTATAAAACTTGCTCACAAAATATATAAGATAGTGATTAACTGATATTATGAGTGTTTATTGATCTTTCCAAGGCCTTTAATATAGTTAATCACAGTATCTTACTTTCCAAGCAAAAATACTACGGTATAATAGGCTCAATACTTAAGTGGATTCAAAGCTATTTGTCTAACAGAAAGCAATTTTATTACTAGTCAGGAACCCTCTATATTACGTGTGGAGTTCCTCAGTTTCAATTCTAGGACCATTATTTTTTTTTAATATATATTAACGATATGCTTAAAGCTTCTCAACAAATATCTACATTAACTGTAGATATTTTTTAAGAAGCTTTATGCATATCTTTAGGGAAGCCTAACGCATATACATAATTATTATGTATGCTGACGATACAAATTTATTTTTAAACCTTCCTGGTACAATGACCTAGTTTTAAACCATGAAAACTAAACTCTAGTTTATAGCAAAATTAAAAAAAAAATTTCCTTAAATTGTGAAAAAACTAGCTTTACTCTTTTTCATAAAAACAAAAACAATCAATTAATCTTTTTCATAAAAAAACAATCAATTAATCTTCCGTTAAAGCGGCATAAACTGCTTATTAATAAAAATAAAATTACACGTGAAAAATATACAAAATTTTTAGGAGGACATTTTGATGAAAAATTTCCATGGAAAAACCATACTGGTTATAAAAAAAATTTAAAACTTTTCAATCAGGGTTTTTATGTTTACAATGTTATTTATTTTTTAGATGATTATATTGTTTAACCAAAGAAATAAAAGTAATATAAAAATAAAATGAAAATTGAAAAAAAAAAGGTAATCATTATATCAAAAACAGAGTAGGATCGATGAAAAATAAAGTTATGGTTCGCATAAAGTTACCCAGTGTCCAATTTGAATGGCTTGATTGACTTCAAAGGGTTGTAACCAAGTTTTTTTCAAATATATTTAATTTAGTTATATTAAGAATTAGTTAACTATATAGTTAGTCAGAGTTACCTTTTTTGAAGAAGTATCACTTTTTATATGACTTTTCACTTGATCTAAAGGGATTTTTGCCTTGTTAATAAGTTTTCGCTCCAATAGCCGATCATCCAATCTATTATGAACAAAGAAATAAAAATTTAAAAATTTATATAGTTTATAATACAATATTTAGTTTTTATAATATCAATTACAAACAAGTCTTTATCAGTCAAATGAACTAAGAGGTTTGAGAAAAAATGGGTCACTACCCCTTTAATCTTATAAATATTGTATTATGTTAATGTTTGTTGAATTTTGAATTGTTAATAATTTAAAATTTATTACTATATAAAATATATTTAATTGTGTTTGATATTTTTTCTACATTTTTGGTTGTTCTTTTTTCTAATAAAAGTAAAAATACATCAATACTTGATAAGTTCTGAGTTTTTCTTTGAATCTCTCAACCGAGCATTCTTTGGTCGCGCATCAATCAGCTAAAATCATAGTTTTAAAAAGTGATAAAAAACACTAAAAGTTTTATACATACAAAAAAATGAAAATTTTACTTACAGCAAAAAATGCAACACAAAGCAAAAAAATGCAAATTCGAGTCATTCTAGAAGTAGATACTGTTTAACAATAATCGTAAACCTTTCTTTTCGTTTCTTTTATATCATGGCTGATTTGGATTAACTTTGTAGAATTAGCGATTCGGATTAAAGTTTAAAATTATTTACCTAACAATATTAGTTAAAGTAATCGTCCATAAATTACGCCCTGCTAAATTTAATTAAAAAAAAAAAAGGAGGCTAAACTCTTTTACGCGGCGATTTCATTAAATTTAATGTCTGCTATTTTTTTTTTGTAAGACTTGAGTCTCGCCTTGCCAGAGCACTTTATAAATCATTTTTATAAAACATTACAAAAAGATTACTAAAATACTGCTTAAAGAAAATATTTGCTTTTAAAAAGTTTTTAATTTTATTTTTATCAAGTTATATATTTAATAATAATAGTACAACAAGCTAATAATAATATTACCTAATAATAATAATAACACAACCAAAAACTATCAAACAATCATGCACCTCAAACAACAATGCTTTGCACGCTAAATTTTAAACTTTTTGTTTAAATGGACTTTATATAAGGTTTAAATGTATCACGTATTATTCAACCAATACTTCCAAGTGGGCTATTTGTGTGTGTATGTTTGTGAGTGTTTTACAAGTATCATACCGAGCAAATTTATTTATTATTTTGATGAATATTTTAATCAAATGTGTAAACTAATGACGTTTTAGATAAATAAAAAAAAAAAAAAAAAGTACCCATTGGTTTCCTAAATATAATTGAAAAAAAGGGTTTTAAAAACTAAAAATCACCCGATTGAATTGTGTCTAATACCCGACTAAATTCGTCAAAAACCAATTATAACTTGAAAAACAGCTCCTTTGCGGGGGTGGAATCTTGTTAATCTTAAAAAGATTTTATTCATTGTATTTTGTGAATATTTTACATAGCTGTTGAGAGAAAAGTTAGAAATAAGTTATACAAAAGCTCAAAAGACAAGTCAACTCTACTTTATGTTGTTTCAAAAAGGTAATGAAAGTGAAAACAACATAAAGCAACTTGAGCGTTTTATTGCATTTTTGAAAAAATGCGCGTTACTTAAATAGATCAACATGATTATAAAAATATGATAAACAAAAGATGATTTAACAAAAAATATAAAATAATAAAGACCCATAGTATGGGTCTTTATTATTTTATATTTTTTGTTGAAATGTTAAAAGAATATCCAATTACTGCGATAATAAAACGCATATTTTTGAAACCAAGAAATGTATTTTTTTTAAACTATTTACTTTAAGTTTATTGCAATAAAAAAATTTTAAAATTTTCGGAAAAATTTTCAGCAAATATTGCCGAGATGTTTTCAACCCTTGCTATTTTGATTTTTGATTTAATTTAAAGCTCTGCGGGCTGCGGGAGAAAACTTTTGATCTTTTTGTTATGTTAGTTATATCAGTTAGTTACGTTACATAACGTTAGCGATATTTACCTTTGAGTAATTTATGGACGATCACCAAGATTAACAAAAGTTATAAAATTCAATTTGGTGAAAAGAAGAGAACAGTACTTGTCCAGTATTTTCAGTCCTAGATAATCAATGTTTAAGTTTTAAACAGTTATTTTTTTTATTATTATTTTTTTTTTTTTAAGTTGATTAAGGTGCTCCAAGAAGTCCTTACGGTCTTATCACAGAGCACCGTGTAGGAGCATTTAATAGAAAGTTCACGCCTCCTTCCCAACCGATGTCGCAAAACTTGCCCAGAGGTGGGGTTTGAACCACGGATCTTACGTTTCTGAGGCAAGTGCACTACCACTACAATTTACATAATTATCAAATTGAAAATTTTTTTTCCATACTTTTTAATAATAATTTTGTTATATGTAGTTTTGACAAAATATTTTGTAATCTTCAAAGCATGTTTTATCACGTATTCGGGTAGCATATATTTTCGTAATCTAATGAAAAAAAGTTATTTTTTACCATTCTTAAATCTTTCATAAGAATTATGAATTTAAGATTATAAGATTCAGGGGTGCCCAACACAAACTGGTTGGTAGGCAAATAAAGCAACTTACTAACTTAGGTGGGCCGCATATATGAAAATAAAGCAACAAAATAATCAAAATACTTTAATATCGTGCAATATTCAAAATATGCATTTTTCCAGTGCCAGAGGCGACTGTACATTAAAGTTGTGTTATATATATATATATCATAACTAAAACAACAATAAACATTAATTGTACTGTATTCATAGTCAACATCAACACCTTACCTTCTTCCCTAATCATGAGTTAAGTAAATATTAAATTAACTTAAATATTATTATTATATTTATTATTATAGTTATACTAAAAATACATTATAAATGCTTTATTCACTACCACATGTATTATTCACTACCACATGTATTATTCACTACCACATGTATTATTCACTACCACATGTATTATTCACTACCACATGTATTATTCACTACCACATGTATTATTTTAAAATTAATGTGAGATTTGCTTTTGTATTTTACTGGAGATATTGTAAATATCAACGGTGAATGTAGTCGACGCGCATCGTAGCTGGTTGGTCATGTTTTTATCACTTAGTTTTTACTTGGTTAATTTAGAGAAATATGATTCGCAATAATAAGTAGTTTAAAATGCTAAAAACATGCACATTACCAATCGTCTCAAACTTTGAAAGTTGTCTTCTGCTATTTTATTTTAATAATACCCAATCTTATTCCCTTTGTAGAGGGAAATTTTAACTCAATGTTTGAATGCAATTTTATTATATTTTATAACGCTCCATTTGTAAGTTTGGAGGTGCTGATTCCACTTCTACATTAAATGGTGCTAACAATTTTTTAAAGATTTCCTCAAAAATATGCATGTATGAGAACCTACTACTGAATTCTTTAATTAATTTTGCGCTTTCAGTAGAATATTTGAAGATGTTTTTATGATTCTTTTTTACAGCCTTTTAATAATGGGAAATAAATCAAATTATTTGACCGTTATTGATTACATGAATATATTATATACATACATGAAGCTATATTATAAAGGATTTTTTATCCTGATAACAATCAGCAAGGAACTTATTTTCACTTCTGATTTAGTTCATTCAGTTTCATTTTTATATCTGTTAAAAACATTTATGATGTGCAAATAACAATCAAAAATAAGTAAAGTTTTGAAATTTAAGAGCATCATGTTTGCTGACGGTACCAATTTATTTTTATTAGACAAAGACATAAACAAAGTTTTTTTTAAATGAATATAAGAAATTTATACAATTTTCTATTTGGTTCAAATGCATTAAATTAACTTTAAATATTGACAAAAAAAATGGACTCTTTTCCATTCCTCAACAAACTTGCAAAAAATTTACCTAAAATTTTATCGATAGAGTAGAAATTACAAAAGATTCCATAATCAAGTTCCTTCGTACTTATCATGAAAAGCTCATATTAATTATATATCAATATCTAAGACTCGATATATCAATATCTAAGAATCGACATTCTATTGAATTAGCTTTAAAACAATTTGAACTTAGCTAAAAGTTCTAAATCAGAACCTTGGAGATTTTATGCATACGTGAACAGCAACCCAGTGGACACCGGACCAAAAACAGACGTCTTTTGAACGTTCAAAAGACGTCCAAAACGTTCAAAAGACGTTCAAAAGACGTTTAAAACGTGTATAAAACGTTTAAAAGACAACTTTTTTTACGTCCGTGTCCACTGGGAAACAAAAGTATAAAGAAGAATTCGCACTTGAAGTTTTTCAGATGAAAATGTGATTGATAACCTTTTAGATATTACAAATTTGTTAAACGCATATATTAAATCTCTATTTACTGAAGACGATTGCAAAACCTTACCGAGTTTTGATCCTGTTAATCATGTTCACTGTGAAAATGATATAAACAAAATAATAAGTTTAAAAAAAATTCTTGTATAATTAAAATCATTGGATAAGTACATATCCTATGGGAAATATGGAGTACATCCGTAGGCACTGAGTACCTGTTCTTTAAGTCTGAGTAATGCTATTGAACATATTTTTAAGTTATCACTTAAATCGGGAGTGGTACCAAAAGCATGAAAATACTTAAACATAGTTCCGATTTTTAAAAATCGCGATAAGCTTGATCCTTCCAACTATAGACCTGTTTCTCTTTCGTCATTTATATGCAAAATTTTAGAAAGGATATTAAAAAATTATCATTCGGCATCTTTTAGACTATAATTTGATAAATAAGAATCAATATGGTTTTACCAGGTAAATCTTGTTTTACAAATTTACTTAAAACCCAAGATATTGTAACTCTAGCAGTGGATCAAGATTATCCTATTGATATCCTCTTTACTGACTTTTCTAAAGCATTTGACTGAGTTCACCTTAGAAAATTTATATTAAAAATTGAAATGTGTGGTATAAAGGGATTCATTTATAAATGGATTTTTTTTTATCAAATAGAAGGCAAAGAGTTGTTTTTAAAGACATTGCTTTACCCCGACTTTTTTTGGTCCGGTCCCCAATGGGACGTGAATTAGTGTTTTAAGTGGTGTACCGCAAGGCTATGTTTTGGGACCAATTTTGTTTTTGATTTATGTCAATGATCTTCCAAATAAACTAAAAAATATATGCAAGCTCTATGTTTATGATGGCAAAGTTTTCCACATAATCCGTAATAACAGTAGTAATGATCTACAGGATGACATAAATTCTACTTTTATTTGGTGCAATGACTGGAGTATGCAACTAAATATTGAAAAATGTAAAATAATGCATGTCAGTAAAAGTAATAAATTAAATGAAAATATCAATAAATACTACATTTCTGATATCGATTGAGTTCGCTGGATCGTGTAAATGATTTTTAATAATGATACATGCTAAATACAATCTGAAATGTAGTCATTATATATCTGCTGTACTTCTAAATCAAATAGAATTTTAGGTCTTATCCGAAACACATTTTCATTTTTAAATGCTGATATAGTTAAATTGTTATATGTTTCGCTAGTACGCTCTCGTTTAGAATATGCGTCTTCTATTTGGAAACCATTTTAAAAAAAAGACATTAATCTTATTGAAGGAGTTCAACATAGAGCAAGAAAACTAATTCCAGGATAT